AAGCTGTATTGGGTTTAGGAGTTGTGTTGTTTAAATCTCTGAAGCACTCTAGGAACCCATGCATCAGCTTTGTTTTTTGGAGGCAAAGGAAAATTGATCTGGTTTACTTTTGGAATCTGCAAAGCAACCCTGAGGTCCCAGGTGGATTTTGTGTTTGGAAAAGGGAACTTGGGGGACTAAGTTTAACCCTGAGCCCCCAGGTCACTGTTCACGTTTACAAAAGCAAACCTGGTATCCCCAATTGCTTTTCTCTTGAGGTTGGCTTAACTTTATTTATCTTCTGTCTTGGGTCACTGCCCATGAGGTGCTTCAAAAGCAAAATCCAAAAGACTCAAAACAAAGAAAGCTAAACCAGATTCAAGGAAAAAGTGACCTGGCATTGTGGATTCATTTTTACAAAGGCAAAAAGCCACTTCAAGAGTTCCATAGAATGATTTTAAGTCTGCCTAGATTCATTGTGTCATTTGCACAAAGTGATCTCAACAGTTCTGAGACCCCAAGTTTTTGGGTGTAGACTGGGAGCCAGCCTGTAGGATGAGAAACTGTCAACAAGCTAAATGGGTTGATACAAATGAATTCCTCAGTGATTCTGAAGTGATTCAACTATTTTGAGCATATAAATGGGACCACCCATGCAACCATTTCTTTCCTTAAGCTGATCTTTTTGTTGCTGGACACACAGGGAGCATAGAGGAAGTGAAATGTATGACTCACTTACAAAGATTGTCATAAATCCATGATGTGTTCAGATTAGTTATGAAGGGTATTTTTGAATCCTTAGTGAAAAAAGTTAGGAGGCTAACTTGAGATAGTCTTATAAATCATTCTGAGATGAAACTGAGGCACATTATTTTGCTATTCATTTTTATATGATCCATACTTTGCTTACTTCCCAAAAGGACTTAACGTGGAATTATTTTACTTGACTATTGGAACAAGCCCATTTATAGAACTTAATACCAATTTTCATTATCATATGCCTGACTTTATCCTTTAATAAGTATTTGTAAAATTGCTTTTGGATAATCTGGTGAGATTTTTGTTTTTGTTCATGTTTGATCTACATCTTTGAACTTCAGGTATATGTGTTAACTAATAAATTCACCTGTTGAGGCCATGTCTTACTGTTTATTTTCAAGACTAAAAGAGATTTTGTGTGATTAATAACAAATGTGTTATTTGCATGCTGCCATCTGAAGGAAGCAAAACTTAAAACAGAGAGGTGAGACTTTCTATAATTGAGGTTTTAATGTTATAAATAGTCCATCCTGTGAAAGCAGGCAGATTGTGAGAGGCAGTCCCCAAGGCATGATGTAGAGTGAAGCTGAGTGTTAGTGGTCCCTGGTGACACCTCATTTTCCTCTGCCCTTCTCGTTCTGATGTTGGGCAATAATTTTTTTTTTTTTTTTTTTTGGTGGTACTGGGATTTGAACTTAGGCTCATACTTGCTAGGCAGACACTCTTGCCACTTGAGACACTCCTTCAGCAATCATGTTCATTTTAAGTCATCCAACCAAAGACCAGGAATTGTGCTGCTTGGTCAGACAGGCATGGGTAGCAACCTATGGAAGTGGGTTCAGTTCATAAAATATGGTCTAGTGTAGTATCAGCGTGGGGCACCTTTCACTTCAGTAGAACTGTATTTTTAAACATGGAAAGGAACCTTATAATGGTTGTGGATGAAGGACACTGGTAAACCATTCAGAAATATTAGTCATGCTTTCTCTAGGAAGGTCATTTTACTCAGTTATTAGACCTTGTGCTCTAATAATACCGTGAAGGAATCCATACTCTATCAGTACCCCAGTGAAAACCTGGGAGAGATGATGAAGGAGGGAAGTCAACTGACTGCGTTCATTTGCCACGTTCGCTTGCAGGCCACCATTGGCCTTTTTCTGTCAGCATAAGCTGAAGTCATCTGTAGTATGCTGAGTTTTTGTATGCATGAAGCTTCTGTAAACTTGGAATAATGGTCTGGCATCATCAATCAGTTATTTCTTGAATATCTGAGTGGTTTCACTATGCTGAACACACTTTGAGTTTGCTAAGAGCTTTGTGGCATTTTTTTGTATTTACTCATACTAGCAACATTGTGCATTTGAAAAATCCTTTCACACATAGAAGCTAGAAATCAGAATATGAGATCATCATACTTGCTGACCTCACCTTTCCTTTCTGTCCAAATCCATGTAGCCTTCAGGACATAGACAATGAAATGATGTTCAAGGGTATTCAGAGACAGAGAGTAAAAAGCAAGCAAGCAGTGGTTTCTGTCTTACTTTGTATTAAACAGTTAGTAGCTTCCTCATCTGTTACTAGAGTTTAAATTACTAGGATTTTGTGTGAATAGTTTTTTTTTTAAATAAATTCTTTATGTTAGAATTAAGATATTACTTACTTCCTTGTTAACTGTGTCCCTACTTACAATGTAAGCACCTTGAGGAAAGGACATTGTCTGGTTTCAATACTGTATCTCTGATGCCTAGCATAGTATCTAGCACAATATAGGTGGACCACGATATTTATTGAATGATTAAATGAATTTTATTTACATCTTGGCCCTTTTATCTACATTAGCAATGGATTCCTTAGTCTTTAATGTGCAGTTTAACTATGATGTGTATTTTACAAAGTATTAATGTAAATGTGAAATCATGGATTAGATTTGTCCACATGTGGGCAGGTAGGTTAACTTTTGTAAATCCTGTAATTTCTAGTGATTTACATTTGAGTATCTGCATATGAGAGATTTGTATATGGTGTCTGACCACATGTGAAAATTGTAAGAATAGGGTTTCTTTATCTAGGAGTGTCTTTTTTTGTGCTGTAGAAGAACCAATTCTGTATTCACAGTTGGAGTTGGTGTGGGTTTTTAATTCATTAAGTAGCCTCCTTTCCTACCTGTGGGTAGATCAGCCTAAGAGAAAAGAAGCCTTATTTAAAGGCTTCCTCTTCCATATCCCAAAGATCACATTGCTAATGCCTTTTGGAAAGAAAGGGAGATTATAGCCAGTATATTAAGCAGTTACTTTCTGCTGACTACTTACATGCTCACATACACTTGTGCAAACACATAACATGTACCTGAAAGAGGAATCCTTGATAATGAGGCTGTGCTGACAACTGTATGATGGCTGCTCATTACTGAAATTTATTTTAACACATAAACATATAAATGTTATTTTTAACCATAGCATTAACATATGCCCATGATAGAATATTATGAAATGAGAGGCAATAAATTACACATAATCTCACCCTACAAATAGCAACAATTCTTAACATTTTTTTCATATTTTCTTTCAGTCTTTTTTAAGGGGGTATTCTGTGATTAAGAATTTATCATAAAAACCTTCCCAAGTAATTTTAAATTCTATGTAACATTAATTTTAATAAGCATGTGATGTTTATCATACAGGTATACCTCACTATTTAATCAGTCTTTTGATATTGAGATTTGGGCTGTTTTCAGTTTTTTGATAAGCAAATGACATGTTTGAGATTACTGTCTTTGTACATAAATTTTTGTCTGCCTTTATTAGTTTTTCCTGAAATTTCATTCCGATAAGTATGATTACTAAATTGAAGAAATGGTGTTTTATAAGGTTTTTTAAACACATTGCAGAGTCACATTCCAGCAAAGTTATACATTATATTCTCACCATCTGAGTGTATGCAAGTAACTTTCTCTCTTTGCGAGAGAAAAATGTACTTGTTGCCGAAATTACACATAAGTTCCCTTTTCATTTTTAGGCAGTATGTTTTTTACATTGTCTCATTATAGTTTCTGTACCTGTGTATTCACTTTTAGTATGGTCTAGAATGTCATCTTATCAGAAAGTAAATAGGGTGGCTTTTAATAGTTAACATTTCATTATAGCATTTTCTGTCTTTGCAAGAGTCTCTATTAATAGTCGTGAATCAGATGTGAAGAGTCAAACAAGTCCCTTACCTTCCTAAGGAAAAGCTGGATTCTTCTAATATTTCTTTGGGTGGCTTTAATCACCCTAGAAGTTTTATCCATTAGAGTCAGTGGTTCTGCTTGTGTAGCCTGTGAGTAAATACAAATGCTTCCTTCATTTGAAAGCAAAACCAAGAGACCCCTTACTTAAAAAGTAAGTTAAAAAAAAGAAGAAGATATAAAAACTAAAGGAAGTAGCAAGTAAAGCATTTAGCTTTCTGAAACAGTTCAGATGTGGATAGGAAGTTGGTTTTAAATGGCTTAAAGGGGATTAGGGTTTTAAAGTTGGATAAGGAGTTAGGCGCTTTGGTGTAGGCATGGCATTGCTTTTAAAAGATTACTTCCATATTTGACAATGATTCTAACTGGAGTTTATAAAGCAAATAGTCAATTTAAGACACTGCCAAAAACAAGAGGGCTTCTTTTTTTGTTATTGTTGTTTGTTTATACAAAATGATTGCCTAGAGTTAACAGGCTCAATCCAAAGCCCTCCTTTCATAATAATACTGAGGATCTGTCACGAGAGAGAATCCAGCAGAGGTTGTTTAATGCACTTAATTGAGATTATCTGAGTTTTTGGGTTAAATTACTTTAGGAAAGTAAGGGTGCAAACATCTTTGAAAAACAAAGAAAAACCTGTAAGGAAAAAAGGTTCTTTACAAAATCCTTATGTAATTAGTAGCACCAACCCTTATTAATTAAGTACTGACAAAAAAGTGAATAAAGATAAAATCTCTAAACATTAGTTCACATAATTAGCATAATGTAATAATGAAAGGGTTTTCATTATTTCTAATTATATGGAAATGCAATAAAGTTATTAGAAAAGCAACTACTGATAGTTTTGCTAATTTCAAAGAAAAACAATGTAGACTGTTTTGGTATAAAGTATAGTTAATGAAGTTTTAAAGATTAATTTCCTTATTGTGTTCCATCTAAGAAACAATTCATATTAAAATGGACTAAGAATGGCATATACTTAATTTATATATGAGTAAATAATTAAAAGCTGATGTAACATTTTCCCCATCTTCCTCAGCTCCTTGACCTGTTTATGGTTTGGGATTGGTCTACTTATCTAGCTGATTATGGACAGCCAGCTTCTAAGTACCTTCGTGTGAATCCAAACACAGCCCTTATTCTTTTGGAGAAGTGAGTATATTCTGAAATTTTGTTTGCTGAGCAGTTTTTGTTAGGTTTTTATTCAACAACAAAATGAAGAACTAGATATTTCCATGAAAAGAGAAATATTTAGATGGAGTTTGAAAGCTGATTTCCTTTGTTAAATTTTTTTTGGCTGTACTGGGGTTTAAACTTAGGGCCTCTCACTTGCTAAGAAGGCATTTAACCTCTTGAGCAATGACCTCTTGAGTTCATTTCAATGACCAAAAGATAAGCTTATTTCTTGCCCTTCAGAATTGCTGTTTATATTGATGTGAACAAAACATCTTTCCTATTATATCTTGAATTTTTCAGGTTTAATTGTCCTTATAAATATGTTTACAGAGTGCTAGGGATATAGCTCAGTGGAAGACCACTTGACTAGCATGTACCAGACCCTGGGTTCATCCCCAGCATTGAAAAAAAAAAGTATTGGAGGTATAAGTCAGAACTGGAACCACTTTCCACAAAACAACAAAACAACAACAACAAAACCCCACAGATAGGAACAAATATATCTTATAAAATATGGCCAGGATTTGGAATTTTTGCCACCAGCGTTCTCTAAAACTTGGATTCTTTGCAGGTAGAGAAATATGACTCAGGAAAGTACTGTTGTAAAGCCTGAGGTGGCAGGATGTCCTGGGCGCCTTGTCTTGCTGCACACAGCTGGGGTGTGGCTTTTCCCTCTCAGTATGTGATGGCTTCTCTTCACTCAGTCCTATTTTTGAGTGTCATCATTAAGACTTTCAGTTTTTAAATTAAAATTGTTACTTTGCCACATTGCAAGATATCTGTGAAAGGACATAAAGACCTGTTTAAAATGAATATAAATTTATTTTACAATGTCATGAAACACTACTGCAGCAAAAACATGGCTGTTTTAGAGTTTTAATGCTTTGTTTCTTTTCACCTAGTCTTCCTGTGAATGCAGAGTCCATATAGGATATTTTAGCATACTCTATGGAATGTTAACAGAAAGTAGTATGATATGTGAAAACCTAGATTTACATACTAATGGGAGAATACTATTAGTAGTGCAAAAATGTAAAATAGAGCTGCTAGTTCTTGTGTGGTTTCTATATCTGTACATTTATTAGTACCTGTTCTTTTAAAGTATATCTTTTCAGGTGTAGGTTTAGTGTGAGACAATTCAAAGCATGCCAAAATATCTTGCTTGTGACAGCCTAGCTTTAATTTCCTTTCTTCTAAGCTTCTTCATTCACATATATTTCTAGGATGAAGGATACTAGCAAAAAGAACAATATATTTGCTCAGTTCAGGAAGAATGACCGAGACAAACAGAAGTTGATAGAGACAGTGGTGAAACAGCTGAGAAGTTTGGTGAATGGTATGTCCCAGCACACATAGACTGCACATTGTTTGTACTCAGTAATATCAAATCCATGACTGAGCATTGATCTCTAACAAGCACGGGTCATGATAGAGAATTCAGAATTTGTTTACAGAATTAAAAAATATAGCAGAGAAAACACACTGATGAGGGCTTAAACAAGAAATAGTAACAAGTATCATTTATATGGATTTTTAAATAATTGAATACTATTTTATATATGGAAAACATGACATTAATTTTTTTCAATTTGGGGGGAAAAGGCAAAACTAATATATGAATCAAATAAAAATTGTATATGAAACTGATTGAAAATTTATTTTAAAAACCTATACCTCTACTTATTTCTATTTAAACTTGATGAGCTTCTGTTTTTTCTTCAGTGTATGGTTTTGGAATGTAATCATGTCTGATGGAAGTATTTCATTGTCATTTTTGAACTTTTAGCTTCTATTTTTACCTCAATGTGATTTAAGTAGAGTAAAAAACTTGATTCTGCTGATTCTGAGGGGGAGAAATAATACAAATCTTTAAACCTCCCTGACATCAAACTTAGTGAGAATGTGAGTAATTTGTTGTACTTGGGTGATTTAATTTAATCTTTCAGGATATGAAGAAAAGGGTTTAGTTTCTCTAAAGATGCCATGTTATTCTGCTCATCAGAGTTAATATTTCTATCTCTGTTGCTGGTAGCTGACCCCATTCTAGAAATGTGCTTGCTTTAGTTTTGTTCAAGTTGTAAGAGGCGAAGGTGAAGGGGCTAACCACTTCAGGTGCAGCCTCCTAGGCAGACTCGTTCTTTCTACACAGAGGAGCTGTGGCAGGTTGGTGGGTTATGCTATTCAAATACATTTCAGTCACACTATGGGAAAACCAAGTCAGCTGACCGCTGGAAAACCTAAGGCAAATGTGCATTTTCCTTTGTGTAAGTCATGGTGCTTCAAATGGCAGTGTAGATCTGACCCTGACTCCCTGCGTTGCGTTTATGCTGAATACCCATTCCCTTTGCATTTCTGATTTTTGCCTGTAAGACTGTATCTGACTCTGTAAAATAAGTATAAAGAACTATGTTTACATCTCTTGATTTTGTGATGAAATATTAAAAAGTTTGAGCAAGTTGTCAACAATACATTGCTATTTTGTCATGTTAAACTGCTTCCAGTAAAGGAATGGGAGTAGCACCAAAACAAAAAGCCATTTGTTCACCTGACCATCTCTTAAAGCATTTCACATAAAAAAAAATTTCTTGAAAAAGGTGGTGATTCTGCAGGTACAATAAAACCTGGACGTAGGAGAGGACTCCTGAGCCGCCAGCTCTCTTTGAAGGCTGTGGAATGCGGCAGTCCCTTCGCTGCCATACCCAGCCCAACCTTGGGCTGCCTCCCTGCTTTGGCTGAGACATCCCCCACCGCCTGGGGACAGACCCCTGTGATGATCCACGCACCTCACCTAGCACTCCCCCAACGCCCAGGTTGCGCTGTAGGGAGTAGGTGGGGTATGTAGGGGTGGAGGGTATCACAACCCCGGGACGGGACACAAAGCCCAAACCGATGAGAAATTGCCGAGCAGAGTCGGGAGAGAGGGAAAGAAAAAGGGAGAATTCAGTTCTTGAGCCGCGAACCTGTCGCCTGGGGATGTCTGCTTCTCTGGAGCTTTGGGTGAGCATCTCTGTGACGTTTTGGCAGCAGTAAAACTACCATGTCTTGAAGAATCCTTGAAGTGGCAGATCAGAGAACCTGGAGCAGTGTTGGAGAATCTTGGGTCCCAGCTATCCCTTGTGTGTCCTGGGGTGCCAACGCCCAGAAACAGATGGCCCCCCCTCCCCAACTCCAGCCGTTTAACCTTGAAGTGGGGAAGGAAGGAATCTAGAATCTCAGGGTGAGGAATGAGCCAGCAGCTGGGGGATGGGAGGGAAAAAGAGCATTGTAGCGCAAGCCCGTGTCTGCAGCTTGCAGGCTCTGACTCCAAGTCGGGAAGTTCTGGCGCGAATCTGCAGAGTGCGGCCCCCGACTCAGCTGCCACTCCCTACCGCTATCCCCTCACTGAGCTGTGAGCGCCACTGACCACAGCCTCCAATCATCACTCTGCGTGGGGCACTTTAAATATGCATAGGCGCGTCATGTCGTGTGAACCGGGATCAGCCCGCAGGGAGGGAGCCTATGTCTTTATAAATGTGTCCAGGGTAGGCGAAGAATGGTTAAACAAGTGGAGGAGGCAGGAGGTGGAGCAGGGGTCTGCAGCCCTGGGGCTTGCAGCTTTAGTTGACAACACCGGTGAGTTGCTTCTCTCTTTACCCTCCCTCGCTGCTTCTGCTCCAGGATCGTGGATCCGAGGAGGCAGGAGTGGCCCGTGGGTCCCAGGCGTCATCGTTCCCAAGGCAGCCGGCACTGGGACAGGCATTTTGTACTGGAATCCAAGCCGGGAAAATGTCCTGAATGTGTTGGCCTCAACGAAGGCATGTTCCTTAAGGGCTCAGGGTCACTCCTGCTTTCCACTGAGCGTGTTTTTAAAGCAGAGGGCTTGTCTGAGGTTCTTAGTTCTTAATCTCGGGCTTGGCCCCCAACCTCCGGGCTCTTTCCGGGACCTAACAGATGAGCTGTGTGTGCTGTTCTTGGGCCCCCTGTACTCGGAGTGACCTAGCCCCGAAGGCTTGTCATGTTTTCCTGGGGTCTAAGCTGCCTGTCGGTGCTGGGGGCGGCGGGCACCGCTCTCTTGTTCGCTGGCCTGCTGCTCAGCCTGGCCCAGCACCTCTGGACCCTCCGCTGGACTCTGAGCCGGGACCGGGCCTCCTCCCTGCCTCTGCCCAAGGGCTCCATGGGCTGGCCCTTCTTCGGTGAAACGCTGCACTGGTTGGTTCAGGTGAGCACATTGTCATTCTCTGCAACCTCATATGGCCCCCTCTCCCGCGGCTCCCAATGCTCCCGGGATTCATAACCTTTCCCGTTACCCTCGCCTTTTGCCTAGCTACTTCCCTCCGTCCCAGGGACCTCACATACAGACTTCTCAGATCAACCTAAACAACGTAGGGATCAACTGAAGGGGACTTAGGCCAGGATTTGAGGAGCCTGGCACCCTATGTCCTGAAAGCAGAGAGTCAGGAAGCCAGGGGCGCTTATGTCCCCATTCTGACCTTAATTTTCTCACCAATGGGTCCAGGAGAATCCACATTCCCATAGCCAGGCCCGCGTGGAACCCTGGGGCAGGAAGTTGTTATGAAGAGGCAGTTGGGAGGCCAGGGCTGGATCCCCAGCTAGGCCCAGAGGCCTAAGCCCTTCAAGCTCCTCCCCACTCGCAGGGCTCGCGCTTCCACAGTTCCCGCCGGGAGCGCTACGGGACAGTGTTCAAGACGCACCTGTTGGGCAGGCCGGTAATCCGCGTGAGCGGTGCAGAGAACGTGCGCACCATCCTGCTGGGCGAGCATCGCCTGGTGCGCAGCCAGTGGCCGCAGAGCGCGCATATCCTGCTAGGTTCGCACACGCTGCTCGGCGCAGTTGGTGAGCCACACCGGCGGCGGCGCAAGGTGAGGGGAAAACCTGGGAAACTTCAAACCCGCGCTCCCTGGCCACCTGCAGTGATTTAGGCCTGGGGCAGGTGTTGGGACACACTGAGCACTCCGCCGAGATCTCTGTCTAGTGAGCAGGTGGCCTTGGGCCAATTGCTTACATTCTCCGGTTTCGAATTATAAAGCCAGGGCAGAGCTAAAAGTTCTTTTATTTCTGATCTTCTGTGACTGTAATACTTGAAGCACTAGAGACTCGGACCTAGTAGTGTTCAGGGAAGACTTAGCGGAGGAGGTGGCCGCTGGAGTATGGATGGATGGGAGGGTCTGGGTACACCATAGCAAAATTAGAGGGAATGGAGAGAGCAAACCCAGCAAGCTTAGGTGAGGGTCGCTTAGAAGACGAGAAAGAGACCGGACTTGGCCTTCTGGCTCCAGATCACCGAGCGGAGGAGGCCAGGCTCCGCCAGCGCTGACACGCGCGCCCACTGCAGGTCCTGGCGCGAGTGTTCAGCCGCACAGCGCTGGAGCGCTACGTGCCGCGCCTGCAGGGGGCGCTGCGGCGTGAGGTGCGCTCCTGGTGCGCGGTCCGCGGACCAGTGGCAGTATACCAGGCAGCCAAGGCGCTCACCTTCCGCATGGCCGCGCGCATCCTACTGGGTCTGCGGCTGGATGAGGCGCGTTGCGCCGAGCTGGCGCGGACCTTCGAGCAGCTGGTGGAGAACCTCTTCTCGCTGCCCTTGGACGTGCCATTCAGCGGCCTGCGTAAGGTACTGCTGCCCCAGCCCCCACTCCTGGGGCCCCATGGCTCGAGGATGGGGTTCGGGGGAGTCTCCCAGACCGAGACAGGATGCCCTCGGCACACCCCGGGGGCCACCTCAGCTGCGAGACTGAGGCGCGGCCAGCGTGGGGAGGGGGCGTTGAGTGATGGGTGCCAGGGCTGCTTCCGATCTGACCTGTTGTGCCACCTGGGGTGGACCACACGCGCTCTCTAGAACGCGCACCAGCCAGTGCGCGGCCTTCTTGAGTGTCGGCCTCAGTGGCGGCGTCCAGCCAGTTTGTCCGTCCCCTCCCCAGAGCGGCACCTCCGGCTGGGTCTCCAGCAGCTTTCCACAGCCATCCATACTTCGCTCGAGGGCCTCGAACACGTCCTGACCCAGCCCGGCCCTGTCCCTCGTCCGAGGGAGGTTGGCGCCGGCTCCCCCCCCCCCCCCCCCCCCGCCCGGCGCCCTCTGATTTCCGGATCGCAGAACCGAGGCCTCTTCAGGCTTCGGAGGGAAGGGCGGAGCCTGGAGAGCAGCGTAGAGACCCCATCTGCCTTCCCTCTCCCTGTGCCCCGGGGCTTCTTACTGTGCTGATTCTGGTTTTCAGTCACCTGAATAAAAAGAATAGATATGTATGTGGTGCGTAGATCACCCTCACCTTGGATATACATTTTCTGATTTAATACTGGAAGCCTGCAAAGTGTTATTACAGAGAGTAGGGACAAAGACGGGATGTGAACCCAGTACTTCTGGTTACAAAACTCTAGTGCTCAGTTTCCATTTCTCCCCAGGGGGATGTGTTTGCAGTGCTTGCTCCCTGAACTCTAGAGGGGCTTCCCAGCCCTCTTACCTACCCCCTTACAGAGGGTACCTTGTGCCTCACCCAGAGCCTGGGCAATGGGTTGACTCCATCTTGACTGGGCTGTGTGTTAGGGTGGGCACTAAAGCAGGCACTTGACCCCTCTGAGCCTCCGTCCTCCCTCAGGATGAGAGTAACTGTGTGCCTTGCCCAGAGGTGGTTGGTGATGTTTGCAGACAGCAAATTCCTGACCATTTATTGAGCCCTACTATGTGCCAGGCATAGAGCTAAACTGAGACTAGCAGCAGGCTCCAGCCTGTGTTGTTCTGAGAAGGTTTCTACTAGTGGCCAAGCCTGGCCCCCAGCCTTCCTGGCCTACTTGCCTTCTCTCCCTGTGCATCAGGGCATCCGGGCCAGGGACCAGTTGCATCGGCACCTGGAGGAGGCCATTTCAGAGAAGCTTCGGGAAGATCAGGCAGCAGAGCCAGGAGATGCCCTCAACCTGATCATTCACAGCGCTAGGGAGCTGGGCCATGAGCTCTCAGTGCAAGAGCTGAAGGTAGGTGGAGGCCACTGTTTCTCCCCTCTTTTCTTCCCCAGCAGGTCTGGCCACATCCTCTACATCCCTGGCCACATGATATTTGGCACCATTTTGAGACTCAGGCACACCGATCAGGGTAAGAGGAAGAGGAGGCCTAGGTTCTAGTCATGACTCAGCCACACCCACTAGCTTGGTAACCTTGGGCTGGTAGCACCCTTCTAGCTGCTTGGAATTCTAAGCCTATCCTTACAGGTCTGGCCCCCAACAGCTCTGCTCCTCACCCCTCTCATCCTCCTTCTCCTGTGCCTTTGTCTGAGCCTGGGAAGCTCTCCTATTTTTTTCTCACCAATTTGAAGGATCAGACTACATTATCAAGGCCCTTCCTTTTTCTCCTGAAATCAACACTCTCCCTGGGCACCTCATACCTCTGCCTGCCAGTTTTGCTGCTGCAAGCTGTCCTGCAGAATTAGGACTCCTCCCCATTCCCATGTGGACACAAAGCACAGGCAGTGGAAGGAAGAAAGGAGCCCTGGGACGGCCAGAGCTGCTCCTGAGCCCAGAGGAATTGAGAAGTGCAGATCAGGGCAAAGTTAGCAATGGGAAGACCCCAGTCTTCTGTAAGCAGTTCCCAATGCTTTGTCTGGACCTCAGTTTCTCCACTTTCCACCAGCCAGCCCCTGGAGCTCAGCCTTGGTTTCATCTCTGTGAATGGGACTAATGATCTCCATTCTGACTCCAGGCTGGAAAGTCGTCAAAGGGTTCAGAAGAGAATGAGCAATGGGCTAGGAGTCTTGGAGATGGGGGGCTGTGACGGTTCTGGGCTGTGAAGGGAAGGGGATGGAAAGAAGTGGATGGTCTCTCTGCCTTGACAAAACTGGGAGGGAGTGATGGCACTCTTCAGTTCTGGCCTGGGCATCAGAGGAAGGCCAGGCTGGCTGAAGAGGATGTTTGGGCTACGGGGTCTCCATCCCAGTCTCCCATTTTGTCCAAGTCAGGTCCTGGAGTTAACCTCCAGCCAGGTCAGTATTGATTTCCACAAATACTATCATGCTCCTCTTCCGTCCCAGATTCTGTGCTGGAACATGAAATGCCTCGAGGTAGAGGAGGAAGGGGACGGTGCACATTTTCTAGGATCACAGAATCAGCATGTAAACACCACCACCGGTTGCCGGAAGAAAGAAACTGGATGTAGGTAGGGCAGAGGCAGGCCGAGAACTGAGGCCTGGAGGATGTCCTTCCTGGGCAAAGCAGTCCAGGAAGAGATTTAGTGACACTGGGACCAATCCAGTAAGCAAGAAGATGGAGATGATGCCGGTTGCGGTGCGTGGCTGGCGCTGCTCCTGCTGGTGCTCTGTTCCACCGCAGTCATTGTCAGGACGCCCGCGTGCGTTGCGGGAAGCATCCTCGGGAGACCTAGAGCACTAGACTCCCGAGCCTGGCTACTGGGAATGCTAGCCGTAGGGACCTGCGCACCACTCGGAGCCTCAGTTTCCTCCCTGTAAAACAAAAGTAGTGATTGTGGCCTAACAAGTGAGGCACAAGGTGAGAATCCAATGAGCTAATATGCTCAAAGCACTAAGCACACAGAGTAAGTTCCCAGCATTGGCTTTGGGAACTCTCCCAAGGTTTGGCTAGAACCTGACTTTTCTCTTTTTCTACGTGACTTTGCTAAGTGACAGACTTGGGTTTTAACCAATTTCTGGAGCCACGCACAGAGCCGCCATGGTAGCACATCCTGGCTCCCTGGCCTTACCTAGCAAATAGTAAGCTTGGGTCCTTGGCGCTCCACAGTGGGGCCACTACGAAGACTCAGCGCCGCCCGCCCGGGCTGTCTTGCAGGAGTCGGCTGTGGAGCTCCTCTTCGCCGCCTTCTTCACCACGGCCAGCGCCAGCACGTCCCTCATCCTGCTGCTACTGCAGCACCCGGCGACCATCGCCAGGATCCAGCAGGAGCTGGCGGCGCAGGGGCTGGGACGCGCGTGCGGTTGCGCTCCAGGGGCCGCGGGGCCCCGGCCGGATTGCGGCTGCGAGCCTGACCTCAGCCTGGCGGTGCTGGGCCGTCTGCGCTACGTGGATTGCGTAGTGAAGGAGGTGCTGCGCCTCCTACCGCCAGTGTCCGGCGGCTACCGCACAGCGCTGCGCACCTTCGAGCTCGACGTAAGTGCGCTGCGCCCGCCCCGCCGCCGGCCTCCAGCGGCCTGCCGCTGTGACCCGGGGTGGGAGGAGGGTGGGGAGATTAGCTTGGCCAGGTCTCCCCTTCCCTTCCCATCTCTTTGGCATCCTCTGCTTTTCAGCCTGTAAAATGGGCTGACTCTACCCCCCCCCCCGTAGAGGAATGGAAAGCCCGGCTCCTGCCCGAAAGGTTAGGAATTTTGTATATTTCAGCTTTCGTCACTGATCCAGGTAGGTCAACTCTAAATTAGAGCCCAGTTTTAGAATAAAAACGTACTCTTTGCACAGCCAGTGAGTGTGGATGGGGAGCCAGGACAGTACCCCACTCCTCTGGCTTCCTGACAAGATCAAAGACCAACCATTGTTACCTGTCCGGGGCTGCATCCAAGGAAGCACAGCAATTTAAATACAGGGTAGAATCTGTTAATGGTCTCTTCGGGCTGCCCTGAGCTGGCAAGGTTAAGGTCCAGGCCTGACTCCATCTCTGAATGACCTGGGACAGTTCTCTCTTCACTCTGAGCCCTGAGTTTACTCTCTAGAAGGAAGCTGTCTTGGTCTTTGCCAGCTCTTCTACTCTACGTGCGGCCGGTGAAGTGGCAGCATTGGGGATTGGCTCCTTCACACTGACAAATTTGAGGGCGTTTGCCTGAAATGATGTCGTTGCAGTCCCCGGAGCACTAAGCTCAGTGGCTAGGTGGATCCAGACAAAGAGTGTGTACGTGGAGGGAGAGGGGGCTGGGGACCCAGCTCAGTGGTAGAACGTTTGTCTAGCACGTGCAAGGCTCTGGATTCGATCACCAGCATCCTCCCCACCAAAAAAAAAAAAAAAAAAGAGTGGGCACCACCTTCGCCAGTGAACATCCATGTGCATTGCATTGGGAGAGGAGGGACATTAAAGAGATGGGATTCTGCCCAGGAGGAGCTCCATGCAGAAAGGAAGGGAACCTGAACCCACAGCTTCATTGCAAACGGTGAAGAGTGGTCTCTAGTGCTGGGTGACACCAAAACTTTAGTTGCGGGTGGAGCAGTGATGGGTTAGAATGAGGAGAGTGCCACAGAGAGGAAACAGCCCAGACAAGATGGGTGTTGAAACGTGTTATGGAGGCTGAATCTCAGAAATCACATTTCATTCTTCACAAACTGCTGAAGGACCTTAGGAAACAGGGAAACAAGCAAAGGACCAGGAACGTTCCCTGGGGAGGGTAGGCAGAGGACAGGGAAGAGCTTTGACATCCTCCAGTGGAGAGATGGGGAAAAGGAGGACTAGAGAGCATTCCTCAGCTTATTCCAACATGTGCTGTCCCCTTAGGGAGACTCATAGCAGTAGTGAACCTCCATCCTGAGGGCATTAAATGAGCCCAGCAGTGCAGTGGAGGTGCTGGAAGACATCAAAAAAGAGCATGGGCTGGTGGCTCACGCCTGTTTAAAAAAAAAAAAAAGAGCATGGGGCTGGGGTAGAGCGCTTGCTTGGCATGAGTGAGGCCCTGGGTTTTCCATCCCCAGCAACACACACACCCACATCCACACCTCCCAGAATGGTGGGGGTAGGTAAAGGGAACAGGAAAGCCGCCTCGGAACATTACGAACTCCCCAGTTTCTCATGTGTGTGTACCAGATCTGAACATTATTGTCCAGCGGTGAGTAGGAAAGACAGCAAGTTTTCAATTAAACTCAAAGAAGAGCTTTATAGCTGAATTACTAGTCCCTGTCATATGAGTCGTTGTTCCAGCTCAGGCAGCTGGTAGGTACAGACTACTGGTCTCCAGACCCGATGTCAGAAGAAAGAAAGACAAAGGGAACATAAACAACAGACCCCCATCTACTGAACATTAATATGCACCAGACCCTCTTCCGAATTCTCCCAACAAAGTGAGCATTTTTATTCTCATTGTATCAATTAAGAAACTGAGGCTCAGACAGATCGAATGTCTCTTCCACGCTCACCAGCAAAGGGGCTGAAATAGGAACGCAGGTCTTTCTCCGGGCTTCCGGTTAGTTACGCGTTCCTACCGGCTTTTACAAACCTGTTTGGCGCATCCATCCGGAGTGAAGGGTTGGTTCAGGCCATTGCGGGGTGCTTGGTGATAAACTTGGTTCCCTCGCCTCCTCGCAGGGCTACCAGATTCCCAAAGGCTGGAGTGTGATGTATAGCATTCGGGACACGCACGAGACTGCCGCGGTGTACCATAGTCCGCCCGAGGGCTTCGACCCCGAGCGCTTTGGCGCCGGGCGTGAAGATGCGCAGGGCGCCTCTGGCCGCTTCCATTACATCCCGTTCGGAGGCGGTGCGCGCAGCTGCCTCGGCCAGGAGTTAGCACAAGCTGTGCTGCAGCTGCTAGCTGTGGAGCTAGTGCGCACCGCGCGCTGGGAGCTGGCCACGCCCGCCTTCCCCGCCATGCAGACGGTGCCCATCGTTCACCCGGTGGACGGGCTGCGACTCTTCTTCCACTCGCTCGCGCCCTCGGCCGCGGAGGATGGGCTACACCTCTGATTTGCTGTGGTGCCAAGACTCGGCTTGCCCGGTGGCAGCGGCGCACGCACAGCGCCACCCATCTGCGGCGCCCGGTGCCGCGCGATCACCCAGTCACGGACTCAACAAAAGTTGCGGGAACGCGGCTACGTACAAGCCAGTCACCGCGCCAGAGAAGCGCCCCGGCCAGTGGGAAGGTGACTCCTGCACTCCACACCTTAAAGAAGGAAAGGTCGTGGGCCAAGCCCCTTAAAGACTTCCCAAGATCCCAAAGCAGGAATGGAGAGAACTGATCTGCATCAGATGCTACCCGACTTCATCTCGCCGCAGTCCCAACGGGCGTAGGGATCGAGCGCCCTGGTGTGTTGGAGCGGGTAGGGTATTGCACCTATCGGATGGTCCCAGAGACCCTGCGCATGAGGTGGGACCTGCAACCTTTGCTAGGAAGCCGAACACCAGGGCGTGTCCCTGGCCTTACTTTGGGCCATAAGACACACATTCTAGTGCCTTGGCCATTCTGCCCATTTTGGCGTAAACTCAGAACTGTGGGCGCTTCCAGGGCTCTAACCAGTTCAAACATCACCAGATTCTGCTGGAGACTTCTTAAAAGAAAAATTCCTACTGCAAGAACGCATTTAATCTTCCCATTTATACAGGGGAGAATATGCACACAGAAATGTCTGGTTCATGCGAGGTTGATTGAGACATAATTCCTTCATGGAGAATGAGATCATCAGAGAGGTTTGGAATATTTGTACCCAAAACAGGAAGGCTAAGAAATAACATTCCCTCCAGCAGCTGAGCAAGGAGGCTAGGGCTTAGCTCGGCAGCTGCTCCCTGGTGGAGGGTGAGGAAGGCCCACAAGGACCCACCTGGAAGACCCACCCCAGCATACACCCAGCCCCAGTCCGTGAATTTAACTCCTGACCATGGTCTTGGACGCTGGGCTTCACATTATCTCCACAATAGCTTGCTGCAGAAACGTCTGGGTTTACTGCTTCAGTATCCTCTATTGCAGAGGAGACATTGACCACCAAAGAGACCAGTGACGTCCCGGAAGAGCCAGTAGTAGGCTACATGACTCCTAAGGCCAGTAACCTCTTCCACCCCCCTCCTTCATCACTTATCCCCTCTGCCCCACACTCTGAACCGCTGCCACCTTGACGGCCTTAGCCTTCTTGCCTTTTCACAGTCATCCCTATGGCCTTCCCGATCCAAAGGTGCCCCCCCCCCCCGCCACACACAGTCAAAGCCAAAAGCCTCCTCCATCACTCCCACAGCCCCGTTCAACCTGCCACCCATTTTCCCACAGGCCTGGGCAGCTGGACAGGACTGGTAAGCCAGAGAAGTTGACACCCAGGCCTGAGCTGACCCCATTGTGAACCAGGAGACCAGTGCCCTCCTGAGCTTATGCTTAAGGTGGCTCCTGGGGTCTGAAGGCAATGGGGGACACAGCAGGCACAGAGTTGGCAGCTCAGGACCTCAGGGGCCCTTCTGAGTGAGGCTGCCGTGACATAGCCCTCATTCGGGGTAATTCATCACCCATGCCTGGTCATAGGTTGGGGGCCAGGCCGAGCTCAGCAGGCGCCAGAGGCAGCAAAGGTGGCAGAATGCAGGCCTCCTCTCAGAGTGCTCTTGAAAACACTGAGGACATTCAGGTCTGTGAGGCACTGGTCTGGGTGCAGAAGCAAAGGACCCTGCTTCAAGGTCGATTCTGATTTGTAGAGAAAAGAGAAATATGGAAGGGGCCTTTCAGAAGCTGGACAGTCAGCCGGCTCCAAGAGACTTGGTTTACCTCTCTGGGGTCTGGAGTAACTGTAAGCTAGTAGGGATGTCTCCAGATTTCCTCTAATTTCCCATGGCTACATCATGTTAGTAATTTCAGCGAACATGTGTGCTCCTGTTTTAGTAGTCCCAAGTTCTCGAGGAAGACCCAGATGTAGTTCTTGCCCTCCTGGACTTTTAATATGCTCATAGGGGGAGTCAGACAATGAATAAACAAGCAAACAAAAAGAGCAAGAATCGTCCAGTGGTTGATAAACTCTGTAAAAAAAATAATAAAACGGGCCCTTAACAGAGTGCCTGGGGCAAAATTCGGCAGGATGGGTGGGAAAACCTCTTTGAGGAGAAGACATTAGATTTTGGAAGGAACCAATCTGCGGTTTGGGGGGTGGAGGTTGGAGAAGAGCGCCTGGACAGAGTGAACTGCAGGTGTGAAACCCTGAGACCTGAATGAGAGTTGGGGTAAGCAAGAGGGGTCTGAAGCGAGAAGGTGGAGGGGTGTTCGACTGGCTTCCTAGTTACCTGACTTGGTCCCTTTGGTCTTCACCCCTCCACACAAGCAAACAACAATCAAAAAAAAAAAAAAAAACTCACCACCCATCCCTTCGCAATAGGAAGGCTGTTTTGTAAACATTTTGTTTTTCAGCGAATCGACCCTCCAACCCCCACCCTATAAGGCTTGGCGAGGTTCCTAGATCAAAGTTCTTATTGGGCTGATAATTTATTGACCCCCTTCAAGATGTCCTTTAATAATCTTTTCACCCTCACATTTAATCTATTCCTGTGGAACGCCTCCGAGTCTCGATGGGCAAATAGATTAAAAAACAAAAAAGAAAGAAAGCAAGTTTTTTTCTCCCTGTGGCAATTTCCAGCGCGCAGGCCTCGCTCATCTTGTGACCTGGCGCGCGCTGAACTTGGCGGGGTGGCCCCGCAGGGTTCACTCGGATGTCACGGTCCGGCCTGCAGGGGTCACAGGCGGGTCAGGCCTGAGGGTTGGGAATGGGCCCCAGGTCACGCCCCCGCTTGCCGGTTCTGCACACCGGCCGCAGGCGCTCTCCAGCAAGGGGCGGCCCTGGATTTTAGAGAATTACCTCCAGCGCGATTCGCCCTGGTTCCAGCCAGTCCCCAGAAAGCGGGCTCGAATTCTTTAGTCACCAAATAGGAGAAATGATAATAGGAGAGGCTACTGAAACGCTGGACCGATTACCGGCCAAGCGCGGACTCCCGAAGCACGCCTGGTGGCGACCCTGGCTTGGAGTGTTGCCCGGACTGCGTGGGTCCTTACGACTTCCGCAGATTATTTCCTGGTCCCTCTGAGTTTGGGGGCCACCACGGGAGAGCCACGTAAAATTTAACAGCTCTCAGGATCAAAGAGTTTTCCACCTCCTAGGCGTGCGGGCGTGCGTTTCTGAGAGCCAGTGTTCAGTTATGAGCAAACGTACGTCATTCTGTTTCGTTTTCGCCGCCGCTGGTGCGTTCGGCGTTCAGATCCAGGCAGGGACTGGTCCCAAGCGGTGGGAAGCCGCGCGCGCACGTGCGCAAGCCGCAGCACCCGACCCAGGTAGTGGCTGCAGAAGAAGCTGATGGGAGTAGGGCAGAGTCCAGAGAACTCACTCTCCAGAGCGGATTCCCTCCACGCTCCCTTTAGCGGGCGGCAAAGTCTGGGTTTAGGACCAAACACCCCTCTTGCCAGTTGAGGACAGTGGCTTTACACTGGGTGGGAGCTGGGAAAGTGGAGGAAGGTTCCAGAACCCCCACCCCCGCCCCTCCGGGTCACCCTTATAACACATCCTAGCGTGCCTGGAGCTAGGAAGAGGATTTGCAAGCAGAAACCCACTTGGGTAACTCACAAGCGCCCCGAGATGTAAACAGATTAGAAATGGTTGCCTCCATCCTGGAGGAGGAAACATGCCCAAAGTCAGGCAACTACTTGAATGGAACCAAGACTCCAGGGCTTCCTTTCTCTTCTACCTGGGCTAAGGACCCTCTTCCCGGGTTCCCAGGACCACAGGAATTGGGCAGCCTTGGCCGAATCACACAGCTGGGCGTTGACTGTCAGCCGCGGATGAATTGTCCCTAGCTCCGCCGCAAGGGTGTCAGAACTGGGGACCGAGCTTGTGTAGGGCTGTACCTGGAGGCTGACTTGAATCCTAAAGAAGGGCCTTCCAAGACTTTGTGAGTGCTGGCTCGCTTGCGGGGGCCGGGAGCTAGGGTTCACGATTCGCCGGTGGCCCTGGGATCTTCCTGGTAGCCTAGCAAGAGTCGGGAAGCCTTCGCTTTGCTCCGCGTTTTGGACCCCAGTTACCCTACCTGTAGGGCACCTCCACTGGATGACGACTCCTGAACGCACACCCCCTTGCTTCCCCAGCAGGTGGAAAGAAGCCCACGGCGCCTGTAAATGAAAAGCCACCAAGGAGGCGTTGGGCTTTGGCGGCCCGTCGGGCCTGGCGGGAGGGATTCCAAAGAGACCTCCAGGAAACCCAGGGCTCAGAATTCCCGCTGCTCGGAGCCCCGGCCCGCCCCTAAGCCCGCTTCCTGCTGCCTCGGAGCTCCGCACACCTAGGATGGGGGAGGCGGTACTCTAGCCCCGCACCCCAGGTGGCACGCTCCGAGGAAAGCAGTCACCGCGCCTCCTCTGCCTCCGCGCAGAACAAACGGTTAAAGATTTTGGGCAGCGCCTCGCGGGGGGGAGGAGCTAGGGGCCCAATCCGCAATTAAAGATGAACTTTGGGTGAACTAATTTGACCAAGGTAACGTGGGCAGCAACCTGGGCCGCCTATAAAACGGGCGTGCGGCGGGGTTTGGAGCGCTGGCGGCGGCGGCAGGTGGCGCGGAGGCTGCAGCGTGCCATGGGGCTCCCGGCTCTGCTGGCCAGTGCTCTCTGCACCTTCGTGCTACCGCTGCTGCTCTTCCTGGCTGCGATCAAGCTATGGGACCTGTACTGCGTGAGCAGCCGCGACCGCAGCTGCGCGCTCCCCTTGCCCCCCGGGACTATGGGCTTCCCATTCTTTGGGGAAACGTTGCAGATGGTGTTACAGGTAAGGGAGCTTGGAGCGGGACTGGACGCTTCTCCGGAACCCGGCTCGGCTCTGGGTGGGTGAGTGTCCCCATGAGGGAGGCGACTTCAGCTAAGAGCTGGGCTAGCCCCGTGAGCTACGCGACCCCCCTCCCCCCGCTCCCTCACGCCCTTCTGTCTCCTCCACTTCTCTCTCACAGCGGAGGAAGTTCCTGCAGATGAA